CTGAGCGCGCGGGCGGCTCGCCGCGGAGAGGACGGCTTGCCGTTCTGTCGGTGTCTTTTTACGCGCCCTGGTCACCCGGAGGGCCGGCGACCCCCGCGCCAGTGCCGTGCAGCGTCTGGTCAAACGTTCCTACTGGTGCCTGAACCTGCACTGACGCCACTCAGGTAGTAGACGGATAGGAGACAAGTCATACTGTCGGCGGGGGTGTGCTAGCTAGCGTCTGCCTCGGACCGCGGAAACTCATAGCCATTGCAAGAGTATTTTTGTTCTGAAATAAAGAAATTTGCAGCCCTTTGTTTTAAGAAGGGAGTGTTTTACATGCTTTTTTCCCCTAACCCAGCGACTGACCTCTGCACGCAGCGGTCATGTGTGCGCTCGGTTCCACGCAGGACTGAGCAGCAGAGGCGCGGCCCGGGACTGCGTGGCCTCTGCCGCGGGCGCCACCTGCTTCCCCTCCCAGGTCCCTGGAGGAGAGGAGGCACTTGGCCTCCCGCTGACGCTCCGGTGCCCACTGTGGCCCTTTAGGAATATACGTGGCTCCATCGCATAAGCAGAACCTCCTCCCGCAGCCCCGGCTCGAGCACCACTCACTGCCATCCCAGCCGAGGGCGCTGGTAGGATGGGCACCGGACAACCTACCTCGCAGGGCGTGGTGAGGTGTAGCGATCGCCCCGGTGCCGGGCAGCTCAGGTGACAGGAGCTTTCCAAAGACACCTTGGGTCCGAAAAACAAGGTTCTGAACTCACTACTTGGAGCTGCCCACACGTGAGCCAAGATGCCAGCTGCTCACGGCTCCTTTGAAGACATCTCCGCAGTGGACTGTCGCCGGAGGGCCCCTGGGAAGTTATCACGGTGCCCCAGGAGAGAGGCAAGGAATTGACCCTTTGGTCACTGTGTAAGCCCCCACTAGGCTGCTTTGAAACCAGGCTGTGCCTCTTTCCGAAGGGAAGGAAGCCCACCCCCACCCCTCCTGCATCTGTCCGGGTTGAGCCAGGTACAGGCGAGCCACTCCTGTTGGGGTCCCCTCCGCAGGCCAGGGATCACCCTGCCTGTGGCTCCATAACAGTGAGGGGGCAGCCCCATCCCTGAGCGGTCCCTTTTTTGGTGCCTCCTACATTTCTTGAGGAAAAAACAAAAAAATGTGTCCTTAGCTACCCTGTTTTGAGCAGCAATATGCAGCCTCTCCCTTCCAAGATTACCTCTGGAGATCACGCTCCTGGTCACGGACACTGAGGAGTTCGCCCGGCCTCACTAGGAGAGAGACGCTGGGGGAAATCCTCGCTAACAAAAGAATACTTTAAAACCTGCAAGAGCCTTAGGAGAGCCTGCAATAACCCTGAAACGGGGGAGCGCGCCCGGCTTTGCCGAGCGCACCCTCAGGGAGTGCAGGAGGCAGACCATCCCTTCATCAGAGCCAGCTTCTCTCCAGAAAGGATGCTTACCCCGCGCCCCCTCCAGGGACAAAAAGAGCAAAAAATTATATATATATACATATATATATATATATATATATGTATATATATATATACATACACACACGGGGAGGGGATTTTTTTTTACTTGTTTGAAGAATTATAATAAACTAATTTGAGTATCTCCTGTGAGTAATTCTTTTTTGGTTTTAGTTCGTCCGCAGCGCTTGGAGTTTTCCATAATTTATTCACGTTTTGCATAAGCCGCTCCTGAAATTTAGCAAAATTATCTCTGAAATCGAATCGTTAAGAAGTTTTTCGGAAGTTTGGTTTTCATGCCGAGTACTTGCAGTGTGTGATAATTACTGGTTACCCACGTCCCTGATATTCCTGGGGTTTCTTCTGTTACTCAGAACAAACAAAAAAAGTAGTTTTTTTAAACGCTCTCACCGAGAGGGTCAGTGGCAGCATTTTGGACTGACAGTTGGTGTCGTGCTGTGTCACTCTTCCTGTGACCTCACATCCAAAGCTGTGAGGTCACGGGCAGTGTTGTGTCGCGTGTGGAGCTGCTCTCGCTCCTCAGTCTCAGGAGGTAGGAACCGCCAACCTTGCAAAGCTTCACTGTGCCTTCAGAAACCAGACGCGGCCCCACACGAAGTGGGGAGGCAGGAAGTGAGTTCTTGTTTGTTTTTTAATTCTTNGAGTCAGGGAGGCAGGAAGTGAGTTCTTGTTTGTTTTTTAATTCTTTTAATGTAAAAACAGCCAGCCAGAAATTTCCAAAACTGGCTATGCAAATACAGCATCTTTCTCATGCTCTCTGCCAGGATTTTGTTTTTTGTTGTTGAAAAAAGTAAACAGACTAAAATCCCTTCATTGTAATAAGAGAGGAAAAACTTCCAGATCAGGCCGTGTCATTTGTGGGTATTATCAAATAACGGTGACCTGGTCTATCTCCTAGGATTTTAGTCACCTCCGCTCCATCCACATGTGACAGCTGTGCGGTGACTAAGAGCCCGGGAGCCACCAACATCCACTGTGGCCCCTCCCACTCTGTGGGCGCCTCTCAGTACGTGGAAAGCCCCTGCCTTCTCTGCGTGGTCATCGGTTGGCTCTACAAACCGGGGCGCCTCTGGGTGCTGCTCCTAGGCTGAGACTCTAGGACTCGGGCCACTTGTTTGCAAACAGCTGTTTCCTTCTGTGCGAGATCTGGGTCCCTCCGGCCTCTAAACTATTCAAACGTGAGCGAGCCCCCTGTTCTGTTCAAGGCACCCGCCCAGGGCGCCAGCAGTGCCCGCCGAGTGGCCCAGACACCTCTTTAGACGGGTCCCTGGGCAGGGGCCTCCTGGACCCATTCGTGACCAGGCTGGGCAGGAACCAGTAGAAACTGCATTGTTCCCATGGGGTCCAGGAGTTCCCCTCATGCCCTCCTTTGACTTGGGGGCCTTTTGTGGAGCTGGGGGAGAGGGAAGGAAGCCAGTCCCAGTTCTAGAAAGGTTGCGAGCCTCACCTTCTGGCACCTCCCGGACTAGGCTCTGTGGCCGGCCCTGCCCGTGACCCACCTTCCCATCTGACCTGGCCAAATGTCCGCTTCCTGGGGGTCGGATGTCTCCAAACAAAAGGTTCCCAGCAGGGTCCCAGCTCCTTCTAAACCCCAGCGGAAGTTATTTGCATAATTTAGTTAATCCCTGGGTGTGCGGTTTTTTAAAGAATAAATACACTGGTAAAGGAATCCTGCCTGTAGGTTGTATGCTACGTTCCGTTGACATTTTACAAGCCAGGTTTAAACTGTGCCGTAGAAGTTACTTTGGCATGATTTTCAGAGCGCGCCACAGAACAGTATTTTGTGCCCTGACCTTGTGGCAGAGCTGCCCCCCTGGAAAGGCAACCGCGCGGGCGGGGCCCCTCCCCTGCGGGCTCCCGGGGTTTCGGGAACGTATCAGTGTCTTCCCTTCGCTCACGGAAAGCTTGATTTTTTTTGTTTCGTTCGTGGTGCCGCAACTCTTTCCTCTTCGACGGATACTTTGTATTCACCCAGTTACTGTGGACGTTTGCTTACTCGGCAGCGCAAGAAGAGTTCCAGGAAGATGGGGTCTGTGCGCTTACAAATTGTATGTTCTTCCAAAGGGATCGAATTTAGGAATCCTGGTAGCTCCCTGTCGGGAATCTGGGGACCTCCGGACTCGCCACGCCGGGGGTGTGGGTAAGTGGCGCCCACGTGGCTCTGGGGCGGGGCTGCGGGCGGGGCTGCGGGCCCATGACCCTCCTCCTCTCTGAGCGGCCACGAGCTTCAGTTGCAAACTACTTCGCAAAAAGAAACTGCACCGGCCCAAAGCGTGTATCTCACACGAGTTACCGAAAAAGGGCCGCACCGATCGGCGGTGGGAAATCGGCGCGAGAAAGAAACAGAGGCTTTGCAAGCCCGCGCGCGGGAGTCCCGTCCTTCGTGGGTGTTGCGTGCGTACCGGGCGCGGGATCCAGCCTCCGCGCATCTGGTTCCCCTCTTTGGGACGGGATCCCCTTTTCCCCATCGCGGCGCGGACTTTTTTACACGTTGAGTTCCTCCGGTATTTCTCCGTTTTCGGGTCTTTCAAATTCTTCTAGTAAGTTGAGAAGAAAACGTGTTTCCGTGGCTGAGCGAGCCCCGCCTGGTCCGAGCTCAGCGCGGGCTCGGGGGCCGCCGCGGTGGCTGCTGCGGTGGCCGGTTCGGCTGTC